GTGGAAGGCGCCTTGATTGAAGGCAGGTGTGGCGGGGTAATGATTTAGAATGGGACGGCTTCTTCCCTCCAGCGGAAAGGGAAAACAGTTGTTACTATAGCAACACAATGACACCACAGGTGCGTGGCTGTAGCTCTGTGCCGCAAGTTAACATGACATTAAACTTTCGCGCATTTGTAAAAACAAATGTATATGGTCAAATAAAACAATTTCAAAAAGGACCTTCCACTTTGGATTTAATTATGTTTTTTTTTCATATTTCCTGTCAGTGTGACGAAGATGCCGTAGGAGTTTTAGGACAATTCCCAGGCTTTTACTTTTGTAGTTCACTTCCCATTTTCACCAAGTGAATTTGCATATTAGCTACATATTAAGCTAGCACCAAGGTAGCTAAATATGTAGCTAGCTTGGTGCTAGCTACATAGCTACATGCTAGCTTTGCTAACTAAATATTTAATTTGGAGCTGAATATTTATTTAAAAAACTAAATATTTACTTTGGAGTTAAAATATTTATTTTAAAAACAAAATATTTAACTTACAAACTAAATACTTAGCTCCAAACTAAATATTTATTTAACAAAGTAAGATTTTTTTTTATAAATTAATGAATGACATAGTGAAAAAAAATGACTTGGGGAATAAACCCCTTATTTTCCCCTTAAAACATGTTAAATAACCATAAATATTGTTCCTAATTTTTGACTGGTTAACTTTGAAACGACGCCCTGTACCACAAATCCTTGACCAGATTCCCCAGTCAACCTGCAGTGAACATAGAAAATCAGTGAATGTTTGAATAATTAGTAAATCTTTCCTTCAATGAATGTCTGCATATCCTGTAACTTCCGTTTGGGCAAAGTTGAGTTTGTTTCTGTTTTTTGTGATGCTCTACTGTAGATTAATATAACAATTGCTACAGATTTTAATCATAAAGATGTAAAAAAAAGTCACATTTTCTCTCGATTTAGTAAAAATATTAAGGTTTTATGTTATGTGACATACAAAACATGGATAAATGCTGCAAGCTACTTTGCGGCAGAATCTGTGATGCTCCTTATTTTAGCCATTTAACAAACGTATAAAGAAAATCATCAGTAAACTGGAGGAATGTGCAATGACTTCTCTATTATGATACAATAGACGAGTTTTCTTCTTAATCTGTCCATTATAGCTGTCAATGCTCGGCTGGTTTCTTAGCTAAAAGTGAACTGAGCCAAAACCTGATGTCCACATTAATCAGTGGTGATATCTGACCTTTCCTCCTCCTGATTTCACAACAGCTATGTGATGGGAGGTGGTAGGGTTACAAAAGTCGGTCAGGTCTTCAGGTCAGTGCTCCTGTTAGTGATTAAGGACGCAGTGTTTCTGACGATGAGAGCGTTGTTATAAAATTAACCCAAAAAATGTTCTTTTACGACCACAGGGTTCCAACTTCAGCGTTGCTGCAAAGCGGTTAATTTGAAAGGCCCTCAGAAAGCTAACAAACCAAATGTGCTCAGGCCTGCAGACAAACACAAAGTGGGGGCTCTGAACTGGAAGGTCATAATGGGAGATTAAAGCCACATTCCTCTCACTGGATTTTATGAAAAATGACTGAAGATCCTTTGTGTCCCAGGTTTGCATTAGTTGTGCCTCTGAAACATGGGAATAACGGCAGAGAGGCTTAGCTAAGCCTCCCTGTTGCTTTCGCTGTGCATTGGAGACGGGGAAAAACATGAGTTAATTGCATATTTTACAGACGGTCTCAAGTGGAAGCGGCTTAATGAGGTTAGGCAGTTTGCCTCGCTCAGAATCACAACTGTTCCTAATTGTGATCTCAAGTATGCTTCTAATCCTGTGATTTGACGGCAGCATGGCTTACTGGGGAGGCATTAAGGTGAAAGAGACAGAAGGACAATTAG